AAATGCCAATCAATGAGAAAAATGAACAAAGAAGATAAGAAAGGCAGAAAATCAGAATTACAAGAGAAAAATGAGAAGAAAGATGTAATCTATAAAAAGTCCTTCACACCAATTATTCTAACCACAAAGTTCTGACTGCCAAAGTGCGGACTAAACCTTTAAACCACATTTAGTTGAAACCGGCTCGGCGTCATTTATATTATATAATAGAAAATTTAATGGAGATTTTCAAACCACCAGTCTTTTAAGCAAGATTAAATATAGATATTAAATAAAACATCTGCTTACTAACTCTGATAAACGCTCTGTCACAAGAATTACTCGATTTTTAAACTGCTTAAAAAGGATTGTTTTTGTTTTGTTTAAACTGAAGAATAATCGAGGTTAAAAATATAAAATTCCTTTAATCTGAACTCTAAGCACCATAAAAAATATCTTTATAGGAAAACGTGTGTCCGGAGACAAAGAACCTGGTTTGTTGCTCCGGGGTTGAATCAAACCAACACATCGAGTTTTCAGCTGCAGAGATCTCTGAATCCAATCCTCTCTCAGTCCTAGAGGAGGATCAGCTTCAAGCCCTTTTCAGGCGGAGAACAAATATTTTAAAGTTTTCACTTTTTACATATTTTTTTCAAAGTTTGTCTCTTTATTCTATTTGTTTTATCTTTTCTTTCTTTTTCTGTGTATTCCTTGTTTACTATCACATAATTCTGCTTTACTTTTAAAGCTTTGTTATACACATAAAACTGTACAATTAAAATTAGACTGCTTATATATCGTCTTCCTATTCCACAGTTTTACGGACCTCACTGCATGCTTTTTCTTTTCGAGTTAACTTGGTTTTGGAGAAAGATAAACAATCTTTTTTTTCCTAGTTTTATAAAAGAAAAATCGACTTTAAAAACATAAATTAAAATATTACTCTTATCTATCAGTAAGCTGGAACTAGAAACGGAGGATGAAGATGCAAATTCGGAGGAATCTGAACCTCCAACAATTGGAGTTAGATTCGGAGGAGGCCAAGTCCATTCATCTAGGTAATTTTAACCAGGATTATTAAAATTATTTTTTTGGATTTTGGAGTTCAAAATGTAACAAAAAATATTTAAATATTTTAAACAGCTATTGTGCAGGAGGTCTGTGTCTCTCCACAACAGATTTAATAAACCAAGAAGAGAATCTAAACTCCTGGATAAAACATCAAACCTACTCCTGAAGGTGACCAGCAAGCTGGAGAACAGTGGGATAGGTCTTCGCTCAGGGTTGGATGCTTTCTCTAGCTCGACAATAAGAAACAACTGTCCCTGGATCCCGGCACCTAATTGTCCGCCCGGAGCAAGGTATCGAACCCCGGACGGAACTTGCAACAATCTGAAGAATTCAAACTATGGAAGAACTGGAACTCCTTTCCAACGAATCCTTCTCCCGACCTATGGGAAGGGTTCGGTTGATGCTCCAAGGAGACGACCCAGAGACGGGTTCGAACTCCCCTCCGCTAGAGAAATCAGCAACGGAGTCACAGGGAAAATAAACGACCTGGATTCAGAGAATACTCTTCTTCTCATGCAGCTTGGACAGTTTATAGATCATGATCTTACTCACACTCCGGCACACGACTCCGGTAGCTGCTGCAAGAGCGGAGGACGGTTCCCCTCCAGGTATGACGCGGATAAGTGTTTCCCGATCAGGGTTGCGAGAAATGATGAGTTTTGGGGCGGAATATTACAGTGTATGGAGTTTTCTCGTTCTCTCTCCTCTCCAGATCTAAACTGTAAACTCCAGCACAGAGAGCAATTGAACCAGGTCAATTAATTATTAAAAAGATATATTTTTGATAAAAATTTTACTTTTTAAATCTAGGTTTCACATTGGCTAGATGGTTCTAATATCTACGGTTCAACTGAGGAAGAATCCTCCATGCTCAGGAGTGCTGGGGGATTCATGAAGGTTTCAGGACAGGACGGAAGCAATCTTCCGTCCTGTGGTAGAAACACCAAGGAGCTGGACGCCTGCTCCTCCTGTGAAGAGGACACGGAGGAGAAATGTTTTTTCGCCGGAGACTTCAGAGTGAACGAACAACCAAACCTCATTGTTATACACACAGTATTTCTCCGGGAGCACAATAGAATAGTTGGAATTCTCTCAGAAGTGAACCCAACCTGGGACGGGGAGAGGTTGTATCAGGAGGCAAGAAGGATTACTGTTGCTCATTATCAACATATAGTCTATCATGAATGGCTCCCTATAGTCCTGGGGAAAAACATGATGAAGTCTTTCGGACTTTTAACCCTCTCCTCCGGGTACTCTACAGACTACTCAGACTCATTTGATCCTCGGATAAATAACGAGTTTGCCTCGGCTGCGTTTAGGTTCGGACACAGTCTTATCACTGGAGATTTTGCAATGAAACCGACCAAGGGCTCGCAGGGTTCATTCAGTCTTAGAGAAATGTTTTTTAACCCCATGGATATGAACTCCTCGGATACATTTGACGGACTCGTTCGAGGTCTTACAGAGGAGGAAACTCGAGCTTGGGACTCAAACTTTGTCGAGGACATAAGAAACCATTTGTTCGAGGCTTCCAAGGACGGAGGAGGGTTTGATCTTGTAGCAATTAATATACAGCGAGGACGTGATCATGGAGTACCAGGATATACAAAGTACCTGGAGATTTGTGGTGGGACCAATGTCCAGGATTGGGAGGATCTCCGAGGATTGATGAAACCTGAACACATCTCGAGACTGCAGAAGGTATACAGAAGTGTAGAGGACGTCGATCTTTTTGTCGGAGGATTTCTAGAGGACGCTCATGAGGATTCTATGATTGGTCCTGTGTTTAAATGTATAATCGGAGACCAGTTTGCGCGTCTGAAGAAAGGAGACAGATTTTTTTACGATCTCGGGACGGATCCAAACACAAGGTTTAGCGAGCTCCAGCTCCAGGAAATAAGAAAGGTATCTCTAGGACGGATACTCTGTGAAAACACTGAGCTAGGTTCAATACAACCGTTTCCTCTGAAAATGCCAATCAATGAGATCAACTCGAAGAGGTCATGTGAAGAATTGATGTCGTTTAAAACTAATTGGAATGTTTTTAAAGAATAAATGGTACCTTGACTCTCTTCATATCATTTCTGTTCAATTAGATTTATTGTGAAATATGAAACATTGATTATCTTTATCTATCCATCTATCTGTCTATCTATCTATCTATCTATCTATCTATCTATCTATCTATCTATCTATCTATCCATCCTGAAGAATTGAATGTTAGTTTTGAACTGATTTCTAGAAATTATTTCGCATTTTTTTTTTCTTGAAAACGTGACTAATTGTTACACAGTAAGAACCACAAAAATCTGGAATCGGAAGACGACTCAAGTTATGACTTAAATAGTTTAATGAACATGAGACATATCAAATGTGCAGTGTAAACAGACTGATTTCACTCAATAAGTGATTTAATAAGTTACTAGTATAACAATTTGCTTTGTAACAACATTAAATACACTTGATAACTTGATAATAGATTTAATGTTGTTTTCCTATTCCACAGTTTTCTGGTTCTCACTGTATATTCAATACAGGGTTACTCGCAAACAATGAAACTTTAAAGACGACTGTAGAGAATTTATCCAGCCTTCTTTCAAATCATTTATTACATCATTAAAAGAATATTGTTAATCCAGAAACCCAATTTTACATTGGCATTGTTATATTAGAAGAGTTTAAACGGAGTGGTCGCGAAAAATTAAAGGGGGTATAGTCTTACGGCGAAAAATAAGCGCTTTTGATCGCTACTAACCGTACCTCTATCTGTTGCGTCTATAATAAGGAGAAAATTGTTAAAAACGACTAATGTTGAAGAACGTAGCGTCTTCAGAAAGGTGCAACGTTCAACTCAGATCGTAAAATAATTAATTTAATTCCAAACAAATCATTCAGATATTACAAAAACAATAGTCATCGATTATTTTTCGATGCATCCTTATCTAGTTAATATTTCATAATATTTTTGATTTTGTTTTTAAAAATGTTATTTCGCTGGGGCTGGATTTTCGAACAATCCCGGCAAATATGAAAATTTCGTCTTCATAATAAAAAAGGACAAATGTTTTTAAAATCAAATCATAAAAAAGTACAAAAATTTTGAAATATTAACTATATACGAATGCGTGGAAAAATAATCGATGACTATTGTTTGTAATATCTGAATGATGTGTTTGGAATTAAATTGATTACTTTAGGATACGAGTTGAATGTTGCAATTTTCAGAATTTGTATGGACTCTACGTTCTTCAGTTTAAGTAGTTTTAAACAATTTTCTCATTATAGACGCAACAGATAGAAGTAAGATTATTAGCGAGCAAAAGAGCTTATTTTCGCCGTAAGCCTATACCCCCTTTCATTTTCGGAACACTCCCTTTAAGGACGTCATTAAAGTCTCATCCTTTATAGGTAGCCCTGTAGCTGTATACTTAATCGGTATATATTTAATTTCCTTCTTTACTGTTAATTATATTCTTTAGTATAGTCTTGTCTATTCATGTTAACTGTAGATTAGGGTTGAACAGGGTTTACAATGTCTATTAAATTAATCCCCAGCAGGGGGCAATAATTCAACAGATCTAGGGGGCTCAGGGTATTTATAGGACTTGAGGCTTCGTCTTTAGGTTTATCTGGGGGGGGAATTTAAAAAAAAATTGCAGCGAAAATTTTGTGATCAACGGATACCATACAATCTTACGAAACTACTCATCTGAAAAATTAAGCCACTGAATTATTGAATTAAGAATAATTAGAATGAATGTATGAATGAATAAATATGATCTCTGATCAAAGTTAGAAAATGAATGAAAAGATGAATTAATGTATTCACTGATGAAAGTTAGGAAATGAATGAAAAGATGAATTAATGTATTCACTGAGGAAAGTTAGGAAATGAATGAAAAGATGAATTAATGTATTCACTGATGAAAGCTAGGAAATGAATGAAAAGATGACTTAATGTATTCACCGATGAAAGTTAGAGGATGAATAAAACTGGATGAATGAATAATGAATTAATATAATCACTAATGAAAGTTTAAAAAGGATTAATGAATGATGATATTTCAAGTATGACTAACCCTGGCTAATTCAAGTGTCAGCATGTGGTTTAATACTATTTTCACCAACATTCAAATCCAACAATTCTTTCATTACTCTTAAAAAAAATAATTTTGACCATTCATTGAAGTTAACTCTTAGTCTGGTATTATAACTTCTTGCGACCTAAGTATTAATACGGGGATTAATTTCATAAACCTGGGGGAGGGGAGTAATGGGATACTAGACTTTTAAAACGCTTCACGCCCATCTTCTATTTCAACTTTTAATTTTGGCTTTATATCTGAGCATATTCTCTTAGTGTAGTATAAAACAAAACAAAAAAGGTATGCAGATTTCATAATATTTTTTCGCGCATTTTCAAAATTTTACAAAAATAAAATTTTTTAACACAAATTTTTTAAATTTTGATCATTCATAAACCTTCCCTGGGGTCATGTGAGGTCCCCCACAAAATTTGGACCATATCGGTTCAGCCGTTTTGACGTTTATTGGATACAAACAAACAAACAGACAAGCTAAATTTATATATAGATAGAGGAAGATGAAGAAGCTGGAATTAAGGAAAGAGAGACAGAATGAAGAATTTGAATAAGAGGGAGATGAATACAAATAAGAGTTGAGATACTAGAAGATGAGTGAGAGTGGGAGGAAAGACTACTAACTAAAGATAAAAGGCCAAACTAAACAATGAGGATAAGAACCAATGAGGACAATCCTTAGATTGAAGATGGGGCGGGAGGACTAAAATAAGGATGAATGTGAGTTAAAACATTCGAGAGGATAGGCATATAAGATACAGATAGAGGAGGGATATAAAATAAAGATAGAGGAGGGATATAAAATGAGAATGGACAGTGGGTAAGATATAATAATTGGAACTATAAAATGAAGATAGAGTAGGGATATAAAATGAGGACGGAGAGAGCTAGTGTGTTAGATATAAGCATGGGGACCTATAAAATGAGGATGGGGGGGACCTTTAAATGAGGGGGGAGAATAAGGTTTAGTAAATCTAATAATATTATTGTAATGAAAGCACACAAATATACGAGAGTTTACCTTAAGGGTAGTTTCATTTTACAATTCAGATCATATTAAACTATGATACAACGAGAACCATCAAATTCTGGAATATGAAGACGAGTTTTAGAACCAGTTTATAACTTTAAATTATGGTCCAATGAACATGAGACACAGCAATTATGCAATGTAAACAGGCCCATTTAGATAAGTGATTTAATAAGTTACTAGTAAAACTGTTTGCTTTGTAGCAACATCAAATGTACTTAATTATTGCTTTAATATCGTCTTTCTATTCTGCAGTTTTCTGGTTCTCACTCTACACAACTTTTTAAGAAAAATGAGGAATTAAGTTTTAGCAAAAAGAGGGGAGGGAGAAGAAATGGGATGAGAGGGGAGGGAGAAGATGAAGAAGGGAAGGGTAGGTACAAAGTTTGGAAACGGCCTGGTAGTTAGGATTAAAGTTAAAACTGTCTGCTTCAATTCTAATTCTGTCAATATCTCTCTAGCTTTCAGTATGCTTATCTTTTTGTCTATTTTTGTCTATTTTTGTATATTTTTGTCTATATTTCTTTTTTCTAAGTTCCTCACTTTATATCTACATATATTGCTTTCTCTATGTTACCCTCTTTTATCTTTCTTTCTCCATCTTCTCTATATTTCTCTCTTTTCATCATATTTCTTCAATATGTTTCTCTCTTTTATCTTACTTTATCTATGTATCTTTCATGTTAACTTTCTTTCTAAAAGTTTCTCTCTTTTTATCTATCTTTCTCTATGTTTCTCTCTTTTAATTTACTATCTCTATAATTCTCTCTTTTCACCATATTTCTCCATTATGTTTCTCGCTTTTATCTTTCTTTCCTTAAGTTTCTCTCTGTTAATCAATCTTTCTTTTTTCTCTCTGTCCCTTTCTTTTCTCCCTTTCTTTTATCACTATCTATCACTTTCCTCAATTTTTTCCCTTCTCTTTTTCCCCCTTTTCTTACTTTTCCTTTCCCTCTTTCACACTTCTTCTTCTAGTTTTTCCCTTTTTCTCCCTCCTTAATTGCCTCTTTTTTGTCTCTCTTTCTGAAAAAAATGTTTATTTCTTTATTTTTTGTTTTAGGTTCGAAATTTTATAATTTTCATAAAAAGTCTTCCTAAGTGTGAAAACTAGTTTACCCCGAAAAAGAGATAATTTATTATAAAATTAATTGTTTTGGGTCTGAGAGGTATTTTTCTATACACTGATACCATGTTAAACTCAGAAACTAGAAAGAATAAGTTAAGTTAGAAGTTTTTAAGACTTTTGCGTGGTTTTTTTATTTTAAGTACAGATTCCATCCTATCTTAGTTTAGTTCCTGGAGTCATCTAACTTTACTCCGGGTTCTTGGATGAATTGAGAAGTTTTGAGACGTTCAATCTTCATCTCTAGGGAGAGTAAATATCCCGAGGATAATTATGATTCGGATTGAGTGACAAGTCCTGATTTAGTATCCTACAACTAGTTTCAGGGGGAGAACAGAGAGAGAGAGAGAGAGAGAGAGAGAGAGAGAGAGAGAGAGGAGGCTTGAAGTCCGACGCTGCATTGATTTCTTTGTAATAAGATTATCCGGGAGTAAGATCCCTCCCTCTGGAGCCCCACACTCAGCGTATTCCGCCACTTGTCCCGGCTCTCCGCTCCGCTCTACTCACCGACCAACCTGGAGAATTGAAACCAGTGGTTCAGTTTAATCCAACCCGGCGACCAGAGTTGTTCTTACAGTTGAATTATGACCGTAGAAACCGCGACAGTGTCAAGTCTTGTTCCTCCAAAGAAACGCGAGTACTCCGACTATCCTTGTCATAGTTCAAGTCCTGATATGGATCTTCATCATTCTCCACCCACCCCTGATATATCCCAGGAGGATATACCAGGCCTAGCTTGCAAATCTGAACCTATTAAATCCTCTGGGTTCATGATCACAGATATCTTGTCTCCTCCTAACTCAGGACTTCGTCTTGGACAGTTTGCATCCGCTCATCATATGGTTAGAGTTTCATCTCCTCATGATACAACTAGTTCTGATGCTGGAAGCTACAAGGATAACGATATATCCGACGACGGAGAAGGTATGAAAATAAAACTACTCCTCCCCCCATTTTGTATTCACACACAATTATGTCTAATTAAATGAATAATTACAAGGTTCTGGTGAATTATTTAAAGCCTGCTATGATACTAATGATAACCTCCATGAATCTTGTTTTAAACAAGCAAAACCAGCCATTTCTGTCCAATTTGCACCAAATTTATGTGTTGGCACTAACTCATTGATTCATAAATCAAATCAATATTATAATAATAGTTTAGCTACAAAATATTGCTTCTTTGCAAATAATAAACGCTAGTCAATAAACAAAAACTGTAATTTAGTCAAACTATTTATATAATTTCCGATAATGGTGTTCTAATGCATCGTAATGTAAGTGTTACACTAGGATGAGTATATATATATTAAGTGTGGTAATCCTATTAACGACACATATGTTCTTGTGGGTGGATAGTGAAGGTTTCTCATGATGGATCTATCCCTGACATCAACCAATTGAAAAGTTTAAGTTTTGATAAATGGGTTCTAGTATCTCTGGGTGGGCATAGGAGTACAGACTAAGTGGGCGGAGCACTTCACCAATACGTTTCTGTGAGTGATCAATTAGCAAGATTGATCATCCATCCATCAAACCCTGTCCTTGTCAATCCTTTTAATATTATTTTATATTTCAGACGATGAAACTTCTCCGTCCTGCAGTGCTCGCGAGGCAGCCCTGAGAAAACAGAGAAAAGCTCGAACCGCGTTTACAGATTATCAACTTCAGACTTTGGAACGAAGCTTCGAGAAGCAGAAATATTTGTCTGTACAGGACAGACAAGAGCTGGCAGCTAAACTAAACCTGACAGATACTCAAGTTAAGACCTGGTATCAGAACCGCAGAACCAAGTGGAAGAGAACCACTAGTGTAGGTTTAGAGTTGTTGGCGGAGACAGGAAACTACTCCGCCCTGCAGGCCTTGTATAGATCTCCTTATCCTGGATATCCTTCTCCTCTTCTAGCTGGAGCTGGTATATCTCCCCTAGAGATGTATTACCGCCAGGCTGCCGCCGCCTCCGCTGCTCTATCAGCTGCTGGAGCTGCTGCCAAATCTCCCTTTCATTTCCCTATGTTTGGTTCAAGACCTCCAGGTTCCATTCCTCTTCCAGCATCTTTACCCATCCTTCCTTCATCTCAGTTCTTAGCAGCTTGTTCTTCACCTTCATCTTCATCCCCGCCTTCATCCTCAACCCATACTTTTAGTACAGTGATAAAACCAACCCCTGTGACTCCACCTCTCTCAAGATAAGAATCTCTCCTCCCTGGCGTTTAACCCCCCCCCCCCCCCTCAGTGAGTAGAAGGGGATGGGGGCCGCCACCGGACCCTACCAAAGATCTCAAAACTCAATTATATAAGATTTGAGAAGACGAATCAGTTGTGATATCTCATGAAACCAGAAGAAGGACGGAGAAGAATAACTCAATTTGAAACAGATCCTGGTGCTCACCCAGATCCTTGTTGTTTCAGATCTCGGAGTCAAGATTGTCCAAGAAATCCTTCCTTATCCTCTCTTTCTCTCCTGTCCCCTTGTCAGAGTCCGACCCCTGGTTCAAGTTTTGTACAGACCGATCTTTTGTTGATTAATTGATAGATTAGAGTTGCCATAAATTTGTTTATCCCTTTATTGAGTATAATAAAGTTAGTATAATAATAGTGATATTAAGCCACGTGTTCAACACATTATGTTAGATAAAAAATCGACAACTCAGGCCCCGTGCCATACAATAAACCTGGAGCTAATTATACCTACTACTAGAGTAAATCAATATTGACAAGTATAGACGCATATCTTCCCTCAGCTTGTTTATTACCTTTATATGGAGTACATTAGATTAGCATAAGGGGGGGGGTCGAAGGGAAAAGCATTGAAATATTCCTCAGGAAGAACTGTAAGAAATAAAAAGTTTTTTAATTGGTTACTTTTAACTTTTAAAACAAACCAATGAAAAATTTGTTTATTATTAGAATTGAACTTTAACGAGAGTTGATAGTTAAGAGTATCGAGAATGAGTACTTTAAAATTGAACCATTGAGAGGTTTTACTTAACAATTGAACCATTGAGAGGTTTTACTTTAAAATTGAACCATTGAGAGGTTTTACTTAAAAATCAATACTTAAGAGTCAATACATTAGAACAAAACAATTAAGAGTTAATACTTTAGAAAAGAATCAATAAGAGGAAATGCTTTAGAATAGAATCAATAAGAGTTAATACTTTAGAATAGAAGCAATAAGAGTTAATTCTTTAGAATATAATCAATAAGAGTTAATGCTTTAGGATAGAATCAATAACAGTTAATACTTTAGGAGTTAATGCTTTATAAATAATAGAATCAATAAGATTTAATTCTTTAGAAATAATAGAATCAATAAGAATTAATTCTTTAGAAATGATAGAATCAATAATCATCCAAGAGGTTGAGAGATTTTTAAAAATGAGTGGACAGTGTATACTCACAAATAGGTTTAAGCAAGGAAAACTTTGTTTACGTAAAAAGTGTACTGCAGCTTCTGGGAGGAATATAAACAGCTCAAGAAATTCCATTACACCACTAAGTAAAAATAGTTATTGAGGTTCATCAGTTGAGATTTTAAAATCTTAAACCAGAGTGAAATAGGGCTTTAATTACTCCCAAGTATACTCGATCCAAGACTCGAGTTTTTTCGTTTATATGATTTAATTTAATTTAAACCTAAAATAAAATGTACTGAAATTTCTGGTAGAAATGTAAACACATGCAGTGCTGTCAGGTCTAAGTGATATTTACATTCCTCCCAGAAACTGCAGTACACAGAGTTTTATAGAAGTTACTTAAAAAATTATTTAGCGTAATTAAGGCTCGAGCATAGGAAAATTCTGTATCATTAAAATGTGAGCTCCTAGGTTCCTAGGTTCCTGGTCTATCTTCCTTGGGTTTAAGGATTGTAAAGGATCCCACGTATAATTTATAATGGAAGATGAAGGACAGGCAGGGAGGATAATGGATATGCTTAAGGAAGGGGAGGGTGATAGTTCACTATTGAGTAGCTTATAAACCCGTCTCGATGAATTACGAAGGATTTGAAAAGATTTTCGCATGGCGTGGCATTGTTATAGGAGTGTAGCCATTGTTCTTTTTGCTTTAAAGCGAGTGTGTGAGTTTAAAAATAACAGGGAAAAGAGTCTTAAAGGGACTGTTCACTTATTTGAATATAGACAAAAAACTTTTTTTTACTAAGAACACCTCGGAATTGATCTTTATCACTCAAACGATCGATATTAACACTTTTGGCAAAAAAATCAGTTTCGTGGATTTTCACAAATGTTCCAGAAATAGGGGAAAAATAAACATTAAGGAGGAATAAGAAAATCATCGAAAACTAGAGCAAATGTAAAATACATAAAAAAGAATTTAAAAAAATTAATCAAATAAAGTAGTAAAGAAATAAAATAAATTGAGGAAAAGGGAAAAAACGGAAAAAAAGGAAATGAAAAAAGGAGAAAAGGAGTAGATTGGAAATATGTAAATTAAAAAAAGACACTGTAAAAAAAAAATTTTGACAGTGTTTTTAAAAAAATAATAAAAATTATGTGTAAAAAAAGAGAGCCAATGGAAGTAAGGAAGGAGTCTTTGCCACAAACTCTGATTTTCTAATCCCGGCATCTTTTCAATCCAATGTCGTAGAACTTAGATATTTCAAACTATGATTTCCTTTAGATCAAATAAGATTGAAATATCAAAGGTTTAAACCACCATGTTGCAAAGGTAAAGGGATTAGGATACTTAAGGTTGTGTAAAGACTCAATCCCGTTGGAAAAAGAAAATGAAAATATGACGAAGTTTAAAAGTATGAAGGTTTCCTCGGAAGTGTAAAGAAATCTTATAAAAGTAATTAAACTTAAAACAAGTTAAATGTGTAAACAAATCATATATTCCTGAATTTGCGCTTTTCAAGTTGATTATAGTGTAATTAGTGTTTAATTAGTACTAATTAACAATCATTATTGTGATACGTAATAAGCTGGTCGTTTGGAACCATTTTGATTGATAAACTGGAGAACATAAATCTCGGTTCATTGACGTGTATACGAACACATGGAACTACTAAAGGGACTGTAGACCTAATTTCAAGTGACCCCTTACATAAGTCAATTAAAGATTTACATGTCCGATTCACAGAGGTACCTTTTCACTTTCATATGAGCGACGGTGTCCTGCATGGAGCGGACTCCTCCTTATGTTTTAACCATTTTAACACAATGTTAGGACTCCTCCTTGTTTTGACTAATGACATGCATGAATTCACCAATTCATCCATTAATCAATATGTACGTCAATCCATCACAAGAAAAACCGGTTTAATGAAGTAAATAAACAGATAAGTGGATGTTTGCCATGATATAAATGAACAATCTAATTTGAAGCATAATTTACAATAATGAATCAAACCTTCAGTAAATTTCAGTTTTTTTGTTTTAATAATTAGAATATGTTCTTTCTGAATTGATGGATTGAAAATGTGCGTCCAATTCACGAATTAAGGCACGATAATATGACGCCTTCATTGGTCATAAAAAAAAAATTTGAAAACTGTAAAATCTTAGTGAAAATTTTTATTTTAGGGTCGCAGCATTTTTATCTATTTTCACCTAGGTAACCGCCAAAAAAATTCTCTGAAAGAAAGTTTTCGGAAATAGAGTCCTACATTTTGGCACTTAGAGAGTCCTGTGAGAAAATGTACTGGAAATAAAGTCCTACCATTTTGAGACTTTATTATCTATGACTTTTTTTCTGTACAAAAAAGTCTCCGGAAAAAAGTCCTCTTATAGTGGACAATGCATGGAAAAGAAGGATGTTTACGACCATGGAAAAGGGACTGAAAAGTCCTTTTTCTGAAAACGTCTAAGACTTGACCTCATTTTCCCAAGACTTAGGACTTCAGGACTTTAATTCCTGTGATTTTATTTCCTGGGACTTTATTAGCAGCCCCCATATTATTTTAGGAAAAAAGTCCCAGGAATCTAAACCTCAGGACTTTATTTCCAGATACATTTTATTCTATAGACTTGAGAAAATTGGGACTAACTTACCAAAGTTTTAATTTCCAGTTTTCCGATGACTTTCTTTCATAGATTCATTCTTTAAACCTCTATTTGAGTAACAATGATATAAAATCTGGAAAAGTGTTTAATTCTGACAATTTATTTCTTTTTCTCCTAATGCATAAATGCGTAAGACACTTGAACGGTGAACAAAGTGCATCATGTCTATCGGAATATTTGCAGTCATCATCTTATAAAATTCGTCAAAAATAATAGCGAAGACACCTGACAAAGTTAAAAAATATATATATATATGCCCAACAAAAAGTGTTAAATAACTAATTTTGAAAATTTACATTTAATGGATGAAAATGGGTTCTAAAGTGAAGACTCACTGGGACTCCTCTAGTTTACCGTGATTGGTGTTCTAAAGAAGTTTAAAGAGTTTATGAATCATTTACTTTCATTTTAAAACTGTTGCTTAGTCAAATTATCGTGTAGAAATTATGAATGATAATTTAATTAATAAATACTTTTCACAACATGACAAAATGGCTTTAATGCGGAAATACATCAGTGCAAAAATATTGCAATTAATTATAGATTTCATGTCTCAGACTTAAACCAAGTTGCACAAACATGATTAAATGCAATTTGGACATTTTTAAAAGAAAAAACTTAGGAAATTCATATTTAGGCATGCAGTGAAAACCAATATAAAGTGGAACATGATTGTCGTATTGGTTCAGTCTTGGGATTAAAAACATTTCTAAGGATTCTTATATTTAACAACCTTTTATTGGGGTTATTTACCACCCCCCTCCTAGAATCCTGGGGGTAATTCCCCCCCCCCTAGAATCTTGGTGACACAATCATCCTCGTTTAGAAACTTGATCTCAATTCTCCATGTCCATGATTACCATTAAGAGGAAAAATGTAAAAAAAAATGTTGACTGATCAGCTGACTTTAGTGCAAAAGTACGTTAGTTCAATCGGACATTAGTGCAAACGATATAGCATATATACTGCAGGATTTTTGAAGTTGCGATTTCACACTTTTTTGCTTATAATCGTATTTTTTGAGTTTTTTGGATATATTGAAATAAATAGACCAAAATGTTCCCAATTTGAGTATAGAGGAGTATGTAAGATTAAATTAAAATATCTAATTGTTTTGGAGAGAGGGGAGGGGGAGGAAGGGTGGCACTTCAAATTTCTATAAATATCTTCCAACTTGGTTACTTATCCAGCTTACTAAGATTCCAGGTGACGAACATTTAATATTTTGGTCTTCTTTAAACCGCAGAAAACCCAGTTTTACCAACCTAATCTTAGTTTGTCGGTTTAAACGGCAATTAAAGACGATTAATCGCGTCCTGTGAAACCGATTCCGCGGCATACTGCGCTTACCTCCTGATGATGATTAATTGCCGACAAAACCTTAATTTGAGTTCGCATGCAAACTCATTATAATAGACAATAAAAGCCATCAACGTGATTATTAAACAAACTTTTTTGTGCCAATGATAACAATTGATGATATATTCTAGGGTAAGAATTAGATGTTTATATTACGGTGTTTCTAATTATATACTTTGAACAGAAATAATTATATAATAATCGCCCAGCATAGTGGTAA